GGAAGGAAAAGGGGAGGAGGGGGACAGGGGTCTCCAGGAATGAGAAGGGAAAGGGAGAAGGAGATTTCCTAAGGGAATAGCCACCCGCCCCCTTCCCACGTGACCGGGAAGCATTCCTGCCCTGGGAGGAGGTCAATGCACTGGAAGAAAGGACAGCAGATCCACGCAACCAGAACAAAGGTGCCTGGGAGTGTTCCTGGGCCCAAGCTCTTCTCACAGAGGGAGGGACGGAACAGACAGCAGACACCATGGAGTCCCGCTCAGTCCCTGCTCACAGAGGGTGTGTCCCCTGGCAGGGGCTCCTGCTGGCTGGTAAGGAGGGGACAATCCCTGGGGGTGGACAGGAAAAGGGGAGACAGAGACTGGCTGGGGTCTCCTGGGGAGCACAGCGCTCTGAGAGGGGACAGAGGGCTTCTGTTTGGACCTGAGGAGAGAGGACAGGGGAGCAGAGTAGGATGGGGGAGGGGGCTCAGCAGCAGGACAATCTCAGGCGCAGGAACACCTTGACTGCTGTGTGTTTTTAAAGTTAATAATTTCTGAACAATAAGTTTTAGAAACTGATGACAATGATCACAATTCATGTCAGGGGGCAAAAAACTTAACCAGGGGTGCTAAATAGTGTCCTCACCACCAAGCTCAGAAATGGGCTGATACATCCCCGGAGGTGCAGGACCCTGCAGCACTCACTCATTCACCCACAGGTACTTACAGCCTGTTGCAGGCGCTGGAGTGCAACAAGATCAGACAAGCCCCTGCCCCCATGAAGCTCATGTTCTATGGGGAGGAGACAGACAAAGAAAGATCTAGATGTGATGTCAGGTCCCCACAATGCCATGCAGGGAACAGCCCAGGGACAGGTCAGAAAGTGAAGACAGAGGTCTTTAGAGGAGGTGATCAGGGAAGGGGTCTCCCAAAGACACTTCAGAGTGTCAGCAGGGATCTGAGGGCAGACACCTGGGTAAGAGTATTCAAAACAGAGGAAATACAGTGGTGCCTTGACTTACGAGTTTGATTCGTTCCAAGACAGAGCTCGTTAAGGAGCTCATTAACTCAAATTACTCTGTCAACTCAATGCAAAAAATCTGCCGAGAGACAGCTGATATCTCAAAAAACTCATTAGTCGGGACACTCGTAAGTCAAGGCCCCACTGTAACAGGATCAGAGGTGCTGAAGTATTGGTGGCCATGCTGCTGAACTTGACTACAGGAGACACACACACTTACTCAGACCAAGGCTGAGAGATGAAGAGACCTGCTCAGGACCCAAAGCCTCATCTCTCCTTCCCAATACATAGCTCCAAATATTGATCAATTTCCCTCTTCCCTCCTAGCCTCACTCTTAACCTTCTGGAGCCTGCCCACCACTGCCCAGCTCACTATTGAATCAGTGCCGCCCAATGGTGCCGAAGGGAAGGATGTGCTTCTCCGTGTCCACAACCTGCCAGGGTTTCTTGGAGGTTATGTCTGGTTCAAAGGGGAAAGTGTGGACAGCAACCATCAAATTGCATCATATATAATAGATACTCAAGAAATACACCCAGGACTTGCATACAGCGGTCGAGAGACAATATACCCCAACGGGTCCCTGCTGTTCCAGAACGTCACCCTGCAGGATACAGGGTACTACACTCTACTAGCCATAAGGAAAACTTTTCAAGGTGAAATAGTAACCGGACAGCTCCGTGTATACCGTGAGTGATTGCTCTTTGACCTCTGGGTGTTGGGTGGGGTGAACTCTACTTCACACACAGGACTGACAGCCCTGGACTCTGCCTCCATCCCCTACTGCATAACGTCCCAGGTTGGGTTTGGGCATTTAGTGCAGGACACACAGTGGAGACAAACTTTCTAAGATCAGAGTTTCCTTCCCGGATTCCAGCCCTGCAGACATTCTCCACAGAGAGAAGGGCCCATCTGATGGGAGTGACTCAGCAGAGGGAGGCCAGTCTCATCCAGCCCCTGGGCCCATCCCCATGACCATGACCCTGAGACAGGCTCTACAGCAGTGGTTCTCAACCTTCCTAATGCCGCGACCCTTTAATACAGTTCCTCATGTTGTGGTGAACCCCAATTTCATTGTTACAAATTGAACATAATTAAAGCATAATGACTAATCACAAAAACAATATGTAATTATATGTGTGTTTTCCAATGGTCTTAGGCGACCCCTGTGAAAGGGTCGTTCGACCCCCAGGTTGAGAACCACTGTTCTACAGGGATCAGTCAGGGCATGGACTGAGGGGCCCCTAGGATCCTCACACAGAAGTTCAGCCCAGTCAGCCCCTCCCCAGACCTTTGATCCCAGGCTTCTGACTCCAGGGACCTTGGGGAGCCTGTGTCATGTTGGGTTTGGTCTGTGGGCAGGGCTGACCGGGAGCAATTACTTCCCAGGTGCCCAAGTCACAAGGCTCCTGAGCTGGTCACCAGCCAGAGCTCATCCCCAAGAGCCACATCTGGGCAAGGACGGAGCCTGGCCCTTCACCTGAGACTGTGTGTGGAGAGCACAGATGGACAAGGTGGCTAGGTATTTGGCTAACTGCCCTGGGGGACTTACAAGAGTCCAGGGAAAGGCCAGCATCCCCAGGGAGGAACAGAGGAGAGAAGATGCTCCGGGGGCTCCTCGTCCACCAGGAATCAGCCCAGGATTTAGGTCAGGTGCTGTGAATATTTTAGGGTTAATTCACTGACAACCTGGCAGCCAAATATTTATCCTCCTTCATTGAAAGGAAACTGAGGCACAGGGAAATACAGTCACTAAAGTGGAGTTCCACAGACCATGAGCAGCTGATCAGAGTCATCTGAGGTCTGTCTGCAGCCAGAGCCCTGTCCTCTCCTCCACTCCAGGGGCCTATTAGGTGTCTGTGATTCCCTAGATCAGTGGTCGGCAAACTCATTAGTCAACAGAGCCAAATATCAACAGTACAACGATTGAAATTTCTTTTGAGAGCCAAATTTTTTAAACTTAAACTATATAGGTAGGTACATTGTTATTAACTTAATTAGGGTACTCCTAAGGCTTAGGAAGAGCCACACTCAAGGGGCCAAAGAGCCGCATGTGGCTCACCAGCCGCAGTTTGCCGACCACGGCCCTAGACCAACTATTTGTTCAGATCCTTCCTTCTTAGGCATCTTCAGCTCAGAGGGAGAGATTCTGGTCTGGGGAAGAAAAGGAAATGGAGAATTAATCTGTTTTTATGCTAAAACAAAATTACCTGCAGTAACAATCGGAGTCAGTGCTGGGGACACCCCGCCCTCCCCTCAGGTGGCTGATCCACCCCTCCCTGCACTGGTCTTGAAATCACTTATTTGTTCCCTGTGTGTTGGTGTCACTCCCACTGGATATACGAGGTGTACCGGTTAATAATGGCGGATTTTGTAATCAAAGAAAACACGATAATTTCTTTTTTAAAAATTGTTTTATTGCTTAAAGTATTACAAAGAGTATTACATATGTCTCCTTTTTTTCCCACCCTTGACAATCCCCTAGCCTCCCCTACCCCCCAGTGTCTTATGTCCATTGGTTATGCTTATATGCATGCATACAAGTCCTTCGGTTGATCTCTTACCCATCCCTCCTGCCCCCCTCCCCTCCCCGGCTTTCCCACTGTAGTTTGACAGTCTGTTCGAGGCAGCTCTGCCTCTGTATCTATTTTTGTTCATAAGTTTATAATGGTCTTTCTTATCCATAAATGAGTGACATCATGTGGTATTTTTCTTTCATTGACTGGCTTATTTCACTTAGCATAATGCTCTCCAGTTCCATCCATGCTGTTGCAAATGGTAAGAATTCCTTCTTTTTTACAGCAGCATAGTATTCCATCATGTAGATGTACCACAGTTTTCTAATCCATTCATCTACTGATGGGCACTTAGGCTGTTTCCAGATCTTAGCTATGGTGAATTGTGCTGCTATGAACATAAGGGTGCATATATTCTTTCTGATTGGTGTTTCTGGTTTCTTGGGATATATTCCTAGAAGTGGGATCACAGGGTCAAATGGGAGTTCCATTTTTAGTTTTTTGAGGAAACTCCATACTGTCTTCCATAGTGGCTGCACCAGTCTGCATTCCCACCAGCAGTGCACCAGTGTTCCTTTTTCTCCACATCCTCTCCAGCACTTGTCGTTTGTTGATTTGTTGATGACAGCCATTCTGACAGGTGTGAGATGATACCTCATTGTTGTTTTGATTTGCATCTCTCAGATGATTAGTGACATTGAGCATGTTTTCATATGTCTCTTGGCTTTCTGAATGTCCTCTTTTGAAAAGTGTCTATTTAGGTCCTTTGCCCATTTTTTGATTGAGTTGTTTATCTTCCTTTTGTTAAGTTGTATGAGTTCCCTATAAATGTTGGAGATTAAACCCTTATCGGTGATAACATTGGCAAATATGTTCTCCCATGCAGTGGGCTTTCTTGTTGTTTTGTTGATGGTTTCTTTTGCTGTGCAGAAGCTTTTTATTTTGATGTAGTCCCATTTGTTTATTTTCTCTTTAGTTTCCAATGCCCTAGGAGCTGTATTGGTGAAGAAATTCCTTCGGCATATGTCTGTCTGAGATTTTGTTGACTTTGGATTCCTCTAGTATTTTTATGGTTTCCCGTCTTACATTTAAGTCCTTTATCCATTTTGAGTTTATTTTTGTGTGTGGTGTAAGTTGGTGATCTAGTTTCATTTTCTTGCATGTATCTGTACAATTTTCCCAACACCATTTATTGAAGAGACTATCTTGACTCCATTGTATGTTCTTGCCTCCTTTGTCAAATATTAATTAAACATATTGGTTCAGGTCGATTTCTGGGCTCTCTATTCTATCCCATTGATCTATATGTCTGTTCTTGTGCCAGTACCAGGCAGTTTTGAGAACAGTGGCTTTGTAATACAGCTTGATATCTGGTATTGAGATCCCACCTACTTTGTTCTTTCTCAGGATCTCGGCAGCTATTCAGGGTCTTTTTTTTTTATTCCAGAGGAATTTTTGGAGAGTTTGTTCTAGATCTGTGAAATATGCCATTGGTATTTTAATGGGAAGTGCGTTGAATTTATAGATTGCTTTGGGTAGTATGGACATTTTAATGATGTTGATTCTACCAATCCAAGAACATGGTATGTTCTTCCATCTGTTTATGTCTTCCTCTAGCTCTTTTTTCAACGTCCTGTAGTTTTCTGAGTAGAGGTCTTTTACCTCTTCAGTTAAGTTTATTCCTAGGTATCTTAATTTTTTTGGTGCGATGGTAAATGAGATGGTTTTTTTAGTCTCTCTTTCTGTAAGTTCACTATTGGTGTATAGAAATGCCATAGATTTTTTGGTGTTAATTTTGTATCCTGCTACATTGCCAAATTCATTTAAGTCTAATAGTTTTTTGATGGAGTCTTTAGGTTTTTTTATGTATAATATCATTGTCATCTGCAAATAAGGACAGTTTTACTTCTTCTTTTCCAATTTGGATGCCTTTTATTTCTTCTTCTTGTCTAATTGCAATGGCTAATACTTCCAGTACAATGTTGAACAGGAGTGGTGAGAGTGGGCATCCCTGTCTTGTTCCTGTTCTTAGGGAAAATGGTTTTAGTTTTTGTCCATTGAGTATGATGTTGGCTGTGTGTTTGTCATATATGGCTTTTATTATGTTGAGGTATGATCCTTCTATTCCCACCTTGCTGAGAGTTTTTATCAAAAATGGGTGTTGGATTTTGTCAAATGCTTTTCTGCATCAATTGATATGACTATGTCATTTTCTTCTTTCAATTTGTTTATGTGATATATCACGTTTATTGATTTGCGGATATTGTAGCATCCTTGCATCACTTTCAGTCTGTGTGAGTCCCTTATTCTGAGGTGGGTCTCTTGTAGACAGCAAATATATAGGTCATGTTTTTTTTATCCATTCAGCCACTCGATGTCTTTTGATTGGAGCATTTAGTCCATTACGTTTAGAGTTATTATTGAAAGGTACTTGTTTGTAGCCATTTCTATTTTTTGTGGCTGTTTTCTTTCTGAGCTTTTTATTTCTTCTTTTTACACCAGTCCCTTTAGCATTTCTTGCATTGCTGGCTTGGTGGTGATAAACTCCCTTAGCCTTTTTTTGTCTGTGAAGCTTCTTATTTCCCCTTCAGTTTTGAATGATAGCCTTGCTGGATAGAGTATTCTTGGATTCAGTCCTTTGCTTTGCATCACTTTGTAAATTTCTGTCCATTCTTTTCTGGCCTGATGTGTTTCTGTTGAGAAATCATTTGATAATCTAATGGGAGATCCCTTGTATGTAACTTTCCGTCTTTCTCTTGCAGCTTTTAAGATTCTTTTTGTCCTGAACATTTGCCATGGTAATTATGATGTGTCTTGGTGTGGGTCTTTTTGGGTTCACCTTGTTTGGGATTCTCTGTGCTCGTGTGACTTTTTTCTTCCCCACCTCAGGGAAGTTTTCTGATATCATTTCTTCAAATAGGGTTTCTAACCCTTGTTCCTCTTCCTGTTGTTCTGGCACCCCTATTATTTGTATGTTGTTTCGTTTCATGTTGTCCCATAGCTCCCTTAGGCTCTCCTCCTGTCTTTTAATTTTTTCTCCAATTGCAGTTCAGTTTGTGTGTGTTTTGCTTCCCTGTCTTCTATTTTGCTAATTCAGTCCTCCGCTTCTCCTAGTCTACTGTTGAAACTTTCAATGGTGTTTTTTATTGCAGCTATATCACTCTTCATTTCTTTTTGGTTCTTACATAAGTTATTGATTTTTTCATCCATTTCTTTTTGGTTCTTACATAAGTTGTTAATTTTTTCATCTGTTTCTTCTTGATTCTTGCATAAGTTGTTGATTTTTTCCTCCATCCGGTTTATGCATTCTAGGACCCTTAATCTGAATTCTTTTTCTGTCATGCTGCATGCCTCTGTTTCACTTAGCTGCTTTTCTGGCGAGTCCTCCTTTTCTTTCCTTTGGGGGTTTCTTTGTCTACCCATGTTTGATCTCACCGACATATCTAGATGTTGAGTCGTTCAGGGGCTGCTCCTTGGGTGGCAGTGGCTCCTCAGGCTGTGGTTGCTCCTCGGCCGGTTGTGGTAGCAGCTGCTCCTCAGTTGGCAGCAGCTCCTCTGGTGGGTGCTGTTCATAGCTGTGGTGGCTCCTCTGGCTGGTGGGGGGAGGCTTCACACACAGCTGCTGTTCCTCAGACAGAGGGTGTGCTGATCACGAGGCTGCTGTTCCTTAGATGGGGACGGGCTCCATATGCAGCTGCTACTCCTTGAACTGGGGCAGACTGCTCACGTGGCTGCTGTTCCTTGAATGGGGGCTGGCTGCACGCTGTTGTTGTTCCTCTGATGTGTTGGGCTGCTTGTGGGGCTACTGCTCCTTGGACTTGGACAGGTTGATTGCAAGTCTGCTGCTCCTCGGATGGGGGTGGGCTGCTTGCAAGGCTGCTGTTCTTTGGATGGGAGTGAGCTGCACGCGTGGCTGCTCCTCCTCAGACAGGGATGTGTCACTCACCCGGCTGCTGCTTGTCAGACAGGTGCAGGCTGTTGTGGCTCTGCTCCTCAGACC